AGACCCAGTGCCGCTATTTTTTTCATATGAAATAAAATAGAAGTTAGCTTCAGCAGGGAGGAAGCTGAGGCAAGATGAAGCGGTATGTTTTCCCTGCCCACAATTCTTTATTTCAAATCCTCCGTGTTTGCCATCACAGCACCTGTTTGAATCCTGCAGAGGGAAAGATAATTGGGCAGGCAAGTTGGGCAAGAAGCCTAAGGGAGAGGGAAAGGATTGAGCAAACACATTCAGCACTGCTTCTTCACTTATTGTGTGTGTGCACGTGCACACACACACAGAAGGTACTTTTGAAAGAATGGGAGGGAGGGTGCATCTGTAAACAGGTAGTTGAGATATTGCAAATGTATCACTGACAACAGGGTTTGTTGGTTTGTTTGGTTTTTACTGATTGGATTTTCCCTATAAAGGGTAAATCCAGATTAAGTTGGGAGGGGAGGAATGCAGGCTGGCATTTTGATTCCTACACTGTTGTGTGGATGCTGCAAAACAGCTTGTGTCTATGAGGAGGACCCGATCCCACAATAAACACCTGCATGGAATCTCCCAGAGACAGACATGGGAACTCTCCGATACAGGTTTGCAGATATAGGTATTGGGCACCTCAGCCTTTCTGTTGGGCTAACAGCAAAGTACTAAATGTTTCTACCGGAAGTCGTGTCTGAGGTCTTGCAAGGCCTCAGACCTGACCTCTGTGAGACCTCGGAAGTACCGCTACGCCGCTGCTGCTGCTGTGTGACGTCATGACTTTATGTCACGGGCGCCATTGGGCACCCATATCCTGGCGTCCAAGCCAGCATCCCTGGCCTGCTAGAGCTAATTTAGAATTTCTGGAGTAAGTTATAGAGCGGATCATCAGTCTCTTCTTTCAGCCTGCCTATGCCAAAGCCTCTTTTAATTGTCTTCCTATGAAATGCCAATCTTGTGTGACTTCTGCCTTGAGAGACCGACGCCGCAGTCTGCAGATCATTTCTTCCCATAAATTTCACTCACTGATGCTAACTTGGATTTAAGTGATCTGTGCATTGCATTCAGACATCATACGCAAGAGTATTGTAGCAAGACCAAGTCACGGAGGATGCCTTATGTTGAGTCATACTTCCAGAGTTGGTCCTACTGCTAAGCAAGAACACACCAGGGAGGTAACAGGGTCCTTGTAGGGAGTGAGATTTCCCCATTACCAGCCATTCCTGGAAGTGGGAGTTGTTCTTTCCTTCCTCCCATGCATGTTATTTGGAAAGTGAATTGCAATGTGAGCAGGTTATAAATATTTTAAAATAAATAAAATTTTAAAGGGATGGGTGGGGGGCAATAGCCTTGATCCCCAAAAATGGCTGGGGGGGGAGAAGCCTCTCTTGCCACATCCCTTTGGGGTGACATGGTCCTTGTGGTGATGGGAGATTTCACCCAGGTGGTGCACTTTTCCCATCTCATGCATTGAGAGATGATGGGGAGGGAATAGGCAAGATCCCTGAAAAAGGCTATGTGGGGAAAGAAGCCCACTCCCCTCTTTCTCCCAGTGCAAGGTGAATGGAGGGATTGTTCCCTTAACCTGCCTTAACTGCCTGCAGAGGTGTGCCTGTGTGCACCTGTATAGGAAAGGAAAAAGAAAGATGACACAGGACTTAAAACCTTCTCAATTTTTATTGTACTTCACAGTGGCATGTGACACAGACTATTTTTAGGAAGATACATTGTGGTGTAAGGAGGTTTCTGTCCCATCCTGGGTTCATTGCAGTCAGCACTGCTTCCCACTAGGATTCAAGTTTCCACTATAGCTAAGTTTTTCGTCTTGTTATCCCCTTTGGCTGAAATTTGCATAATTATTTACATTTCAGTGGAATGGGACAGTTTTAAAAAATGCAGTATACATGCAGGTCTCGCTTACCGAACACAATGCGTTCCCTGGAAATTGTTTGATAGGGAAGCGTTCACATAACAAGTCCACAATCTCCATGGATTCTTGTGGAAATACTTCTAAACTGTAATTTGTCCAGTCTCTCTTCCCTGCTCCCTTCCTGGTTTCTTCCAGAAATGGCTGCAGCCAAGCAGCCAAAAAAAAAAAAAGGTACATTATTTGTCTTTCTTGCTCCCTGATTTGTCCATTTTCTCCAGCTCTCTGATATATCCTATCTACCCTACTCCCTGCCTGCCTGCCTGGTTTCTGCTGACCAGCAAATCACAAACAAGGAAGGAAGTGGGTAAACTCTGGCTGTTCGGATATCTGAATCTGTGATGTGTATAGCAAGGTTTGGGTGCCAATTCTTTGTGTTTGAATACCTGAATTTTCACATAACAAGCAGGTGAATAGCAGGACCTGTGTATATAACATAATTCTTTACATACTACATACTACTACCAAAAAAAAAAAAGAGTTAATACCACTCATATTCGTTTGCATGAGTTACATTCCTGACCTCCAGTGAACATGTGAATTGCAGGAATTTCCACTCCCATTTCTGTTTCTGCCAGAATTCTCTGGCATCCCAAGTTGTGTTCCAATGCAGGGTGTCCCATGATCAGCCACTGCATTTGCAAAAACAACACACACCAGCTCAGTGAGAACTTCCAAATGAAAGGGGCTTCAGTGTGGAAGGCACCCTGATTGTTATGCAATAGGTGGCTATGAAAAGTGAAAATAGTGAGCTATCTCTATTCCTGCTTTGCTATCCTAAATGTCATTCAGCCACCTACAGCAGGCTTTAAGCATGTTCCCCTTTGCCTGTATGATCAGCTGCTGCTCACCATTGTTACTGGCCAGGCTAACTAAGTGAGATTTATATTGAGTGGAAACTGAAATCAGACCTTTTCATCCAGAAACCTCTAGCATTTAAATGCATCCCCCTGGGTTACTGTATCTAGTATCACAGCTGGTGCACTTCTGTGTACCAGGCACTCTTCTAAATGCCAGCTCTGGACTTTAAAAAGAGCCAGAAGCAGCCACTGCTCACTCATATATTGATTGTTTCCTCACATTTGTTATGAGCCTTTATTTCATTTTCTGATTAATAACTGTTGTTGTTGTTTGTTAAATTTATTACCCACCCTTCGGCCAGCAAGTCACAGGGTGGGTTATTGCAATTTTAAAATCAGCATTAGAAACAATTAAAACAGATTACAGTCACAGGAATAGGGTGGGTCCTAAAAACACTCAGGTGTCAAAGGCCTGGGTGAAGCTGAGAGCCGTACAGCGATGGTGCCAGACACACGTCTGTAGAGTAGTAATTCCACAATTTAGTTGTAAGAACCAGACAAATAACAAATGCAAATGTGGGGGGAAAATACCAAGGCACTTGGGCATAACTACGGTTCCTCTTCCATGGTGAGCTTTGATATTTTGCAAGGAGCTGGCAACTGCCACCTGGCAACCAACTGCTTGCATGTGCATTGAGAGCAGTTGCACCCAAGAAAAGCCAGACTCAAATCAGGTGGGGGGGAAAGTGGCCAAAGAGGAGGAGAAAATAAAAATTGCCAGTGAAGAGGTAAGATCTTGAAAAGGAAATTGCATGATTGCAATTATTCATTCTTTCATTGAATTAATATCTCATCCTTCCTCCCAAAGGAGCCCAAGGCAGCAATCAATAGCTGACTCAGCATCTCCTGTGTTTCAATTGCTTCATAAGTGATGGGGCTGAAGGACAGCTATTTCCACTTCCTTACAGTTCTTACATTAACGTTTAGGAAACATACCTTAGATTCCTGCCCACCATCAGGCCACTGAGGAATCAGCGCCTTGGCAATAACATTCCAGATGTTTGCGAGTGAGTAAGCTCATTCCTCTGCTTCTTCCTTCTGAACTGCTTTTATCAATGAAGGTAGGAGAGTCATCAGAAAGCTGAGAAGGAGGGAAGTGTAATACACTGCTTCTAGGAAACCTGTGAGATTTCCAGGGGATGGAGCCTTAGAGTACTCTAATGCTCCATCCCTGGGGGGGGATGGGACACTAATGGAAAGGCTCTCAAAAGGCATGTTTACAGTTGTGACAGTAGCAACTGGAAGAGCAAATCCTGCCACCTTCATTCTTCTGAATTACTATATTTGAATATCCTGAGAATATCCTGCATATCCCACACTTTCCCACTATTTCATGAGGGTTTCACCACTATCAATATTCCATAGTTTTCAATGCAATAAAAACCCTAATATCATTCAGGAATGAGCTACTTTATCCTGTTTACTGGTAGGACCAGCTCTTATCATTAGGTGGAAGGCACTCCACCATAGCTTGGTTTAGCAGTAGAACCTCTTCCACAAGATATCTGGTTGCAATGCACAAACAATCCAACCGCCAGACATAAGAGCTGACCTCCAAACCAGCTTGTCTCTTCAGTATGGCCCCTAGCCATAGTAAAACTATGTACATAGTACAGAGAATATATTGTTATCCAAATGTTTTAGGTAACCCCCTGCTATTTAGATGAATGAGGCTGCACAATATTCAAAAAGCATTAATTAATCAGCCTAATCAACAGAACAGCTGGGTCACTTCCCCAATTTACACACTTGCCTCCTCCTTGTGCAGGTCAGTTTCTTCCTCTGGAAAACAGAAGGAGCAATGAGATTAATCTGCTTTCCAGAGGCACTCGCCAGCCTTAATTGCTATTTGCAAAGTGCTCTCTGCACCTCCAGCGGAGGCCATGTGGAAGTATTTGACACTTTGTTGGCTCTTGCTCCTTCCCTCTGTTCTGTGGCAGAGCTGAAACTTTCTGCACAGGTATATTGGTTTGCTTAATGGCCGGGAGTTCAAAGCTGGATCACTTTTGCTTTGTCTGATACTGCTTCGTTTCCTCCTTTACTTTGCCTTCTCCTCCTTCCTGCAGGTGCCAGAGTTCATTTTCTGGATAATTTGACCCACTTCTGTCTGTGCAGCTATGTTCCTTGCCTAGAGGTTCTAACCAGAGTGTGCTAACATAGGATTCTTCATTGTACTGAGTCAGGATTCTCTACCCTGACTGGCAGAGGCTTTCTGGGTTTTCAAACTGAGGTCTCCCAGTTCTACCTGGAGATGCCAGAGGTTGAACGTGGGACCTTCTGCATGCAAAGCAGATGCTCTACCACAGAGCTACAACCCTTCAAAACACTGTGTAGCTGGATTTTGAATTTACCCGCTGGCACTTTCTTCCTGAAAGTGTTTAGAATGTCAAGGCTTCTGGCTTCATGTAAATGATTTCCTCCAGGTTTCTGTTATATTTCCTCAGGGCCAGTGCAGTACAACAGGGTTGTTGATTTGTCCAATAACTGTCAGATAGTGTCTACAGTGAAACCATTTGAGAATCAATGTAAGGTATTGTTAAAAGTGTATTGCCACAAATCAGATCAGACTGATTTCTGGAGGCTTAAATGTCCCTGCTAAAACTTAGCGAAGCAAAACTAGCCTGTGACCAATCCTTATGGTAGCCAATCTGATCTCCTTCCACTGGCTGGTTCCTTGTGTTCCTTGTGTAATTGTGCAAAGATACAGGTATAAATTCGTGCAATTACACTGCTTAAGTATGGCTGAAGTGCACACTTTCTGGAAGTTTAAAAGATTTTTTAAAACACCAGTTTATAACAATGCCAAACAGTAACACCCCCCTCCTCAGGTGGGGACCGGTAATAACATTTTGAGCATGACGTAGCTCTATGTTGTGTGATGGGGTTTACTTACAATTTGGGAGCAATGCGGGGGGGGGGGGGCAGGGGAACATGACCAATTCTGGCCTTGTAAAACCAGCATCGCTGACATCTGAGCAGTAACATAGACAAGAGTCAAAGAGGATATCGCCTGTTTTGCAAATCTGTGCTTCCACTTGTTGATGAAGCAGGAGCATGAGATGAGCATGACAAGATATTCAAATCTTTAAATAGGAACCACAGGATGTGGAGCAATCCTGCACCAGCCTCACGTCTTTGACAAATACAGGCATGACCTATATTTATGCCATGCTCAAAGCTGGCAGTGGTGTAGATGAATGCAGCGCCCAGTGCAAATCAAGTACACATCAGAGGTGTGGCATTGCACGATGCACTATTCCTTTCCTCTCTCTCTCTCTCTCTCTCTCTCTCTCTCTCTCTCTCTCTCACACACACACACACACACATCTATATCTTTATTTCTGTCTGTTTCTTGCTCATTAATGTTATAACCTTGGGAGTATATATTTAGGCAATGACCATTGATATTTATTGGCCAACTTGCAGAGATTTCTTGCTTTTCTACAATTTTCTACAGTTCTTTCTGGCTTATCCACCCAGAGCCAACGCATGCATCATCTTTACTGGACACCTTTGAACTTCTTCCAGTTTATCTAGTCTTCTGACAGCAAAGCAGCCAGAACAGTGTCCAGTGTCCAAATGGACTTCTTCCAGAACTGTGGAGGGACGCATACACCCTTCTTAATAATACATTTCATTTTGATATTTTCCATGTGATTATTTGCCTAGTCCTGAAAGTTTTTTATTTGTGTGCTCTGTTGCTTCCTATAGCTAACACACCTAATAAGGGGGGGGTAGAGATGATTTAGGTAAATTTCCCATACACTAGTTAAAGAAATCTACTGCTGGTGGTATTTAAGTGGAAAAGCCATCAATGAAGAGCCACCACATTTAACAGTGACATATGTGTAATTCCAAGCATCTCCTGTACTGAATTCTGACCTGAGCACTTCAGCAGAGATCATCTAAAGCATGGTTGAAATTTTTAAGATAAGATGGGGAAAAGGGAGGGCCGAAAGGTGCAAGAAAGGGTAAACACCTGCTGCTGTGAATAATAAAAGCCTAATTAAAATGTTAAAATTTCCCAAATTCAAATACATCCAATATGTGCTTACAATTAAATCATCTTTTTAAGATATACAAAATGTTTGCAAGACATGTTTGTAATATGTGGAGTTATTCAGTGTCTCAGTGTGTCAATCATTCCATCAGCGCAAGCATATTGGCTGGCCAGGTGAAACAAGCCCCACCCTCCTGTGTGCTGTTCTGGGGGTCCCCGTCTACAAAGCAAAATTCAGATGACGTGTAGGTGGGTGGAGAACACCCCATTATACAAGTGGAACTCCATTGACAGGACTAATTAGCCGAATCCCACTCAAAATATTTTAAATATATTCATTATAATAAAGCACCAAAATAGTGTCTTTGCCTCTTAACCCTAATTTAAAATGACCTTCCTCCTGCCTCACCTGCAAGAGCCAACCTCCATGGCACTGAAGGTACGTACATATGGAGACTGGGAACCCGTCAAATATTGCTCCATGTCATCACAATTTATTTTGCGGTGAACCACCCCAGCAGCAAGAAATTAAATGCAAGTGCAAATAGCAGCTGCCAAAAGGTTACTACTTTCATAGCATAGCAGAACGAAAAATATTGGGAATGGGATTTTGCTGTAGCACAACCTTCTACAGAGACATCCTCTTTTCTTAGATTTAAGGTCTTCACTGGTAAAATCAAACACCTGCAGTATTGGGATGTGGAGCTTATGACAGAGGGAGGAGCCAAGAAAAGGCAGTGCCCAGCCATATCATCATCATCATCATCACCGTCACAAAAGGAATCTGCCTAACATGTTCTTGTTGCTTATCTGCCAGTTCTAAGTAGAGGCTCTGTGGATAATGCCTTGTCAAACGAATCTTTCACTTGCTTAGCTGATAGAGACAGCAATTGGTTCCAGTGTGGAACGATTTAAATCTCCAAGCCAGAAAGGCCTGGTTCAAAGCATTAATTTTAATCAAGTTTTCCATTTAAGTAAAAGTCAGCCTATCCGTAATGCAAAATGACTAAACTAGTCTGACGGGCTTTGTTAGGCTTCTCCCCAATGTCACAGAGCCAGGGGCAGCTCTATTATGGTATGTTACCTTCTCTTCCTCCCTCATTCACAGTACTGTACTGAGGTGAACGAAGCTGGACTAGGTCCATCCATTTTAATACTACCACCTTGGTCAACAAGCAAGCAATGCCATTACCAAAACTCAGGTAGAGAATACCTACCCCTCACCCTGCCTCCCACACTTAGGTAGCAAATACCTGGAAACTGCCAAACTGGGTCTGATGCATATTTTCAGACTCACTATCCACATTCCTTAACCATTATTATTTCTCAATAGCTTCAGATTTAAAGTGTGTTGGAGCAATGATCCCCAATTATGTGGACAGTTCTACTAGGCAGAGGGCCTTCTCGGTAGTGGTGCCTGCCCTGTGGAACGCCCTCCAACCAGATGTCAAGGAAATAAACAACTATTTGACTTTTAGAAGACATCTGAAGGCAGCCCTGTTTAGGAACGTTTTTAATGACTGATGTTTTATTGTGTTTTTAATATCCTGTTGGAAACTGCCCAGAGTGGTTGAGGAGGCCCGGCCAGATGGGTGGGGTATAAATAATAATTAATAGCAATTAATTAATTAATTAATTAATTAATTACAATCAAGCAGACATGAGTAGAACCCCTTGAAGATCTTCCCCATTGGTAACTGAGGGGGTACGAGGATATAGGGTTGGGGTTTGCATGTGCAAATGCCTAAACACACCTCAAATGTTAAGGTGTTTGTGTTTTTCAAGGCAAAGGTCCTGTATTGAACCAAGCCAGAACCATTAATGAGAAACATTTATTTGAGGCAAGTCAGGAAGCATATAAAACATGGGGGGAGGGGGTTTGAGAGGGAGAAAAACAGATTTCCGAGTAAAACGCAGCCCAGTCATATACATAAGAGCTGAAGACTGAGTGGTTTGTATGGCTTCCCCCTCCCCCTTTCCTTTTCTTTAGTATTTAAATTGTAATACTGACGTCTGTTTTTAAATGTTTTTATTTTATACTGGCAAGCTGCTTTGTGCAGATAGCTATATTTTGAAAGAAGTGTCTCATAAATAAATGTATTTTTATACCACTGCTTCTCCACAGAACTCAAATGGGCTTGCATGTACATGTTCCCCTCCCTTATCTTCACAATGAATGTGAGGCAGGTTAGGCTGGCAGATGATGACTAGACTAAGGTCACTAGTGAATTCTGGAGCTTGAGTGGAAGTTCGAACCTGGGCCTCTCCAGGGATCCTAGGCCGCAACCTAACGCCTGCAATACATTCAACCATTACCCAACAACAACTGCGAGTCCATTTTCAAAACGGCCTTATTTAGCTACACAGCAGTAGAGTCAAACATGCCACAGGGATCACTCAAGTCAATGCATTCACTACCTGACAAATTGAGATTGCTGAATTTTTCCATCTCTCATGACTTTTGGCCAATCGTAGCACATTTCCCATGAGAACAAGATAGGCACAAGACCTGATGAACAGGTCTTTAAGTCCTAGTGCGTTCAATGAAGCTTACTTCTCAGAAGAAATGCACTGTTTCTGGCCTTAATGCTAGGATGAGGAAGCACCCTTACGCACCCACCCTGAGGTTGTTGGGTCACAATTCCCCTCGTCCCTGAACACTCGCCATCCTGGCTAGGCCTGATGGGAGTGGAACTTTAATTTCTGGAGAGCGGCAGGCACTCCCAGGCATTAGCTGCCCTGGGCGCAGCTTGATTCAAGGAAAAGGGGTTGTACAAAGAAGGAGAACTGAATCTAAATTCACATTTTTATTTGTCACATCCAGCATGTAGGAAATGGAATGTACCAGCTCTCCCTCTTTAAATGGTTTCAGTTTGGTTCACATGTAATTCAGAAGAATAATGCTTAGTTTTCCTACCAGTTGCTCGAAATTGCAGGAAGGGAGAGTGCTGTTGTACCCAAGTCCTACTTCTGTGTTTCCCATCTGACTGGCCACTGTGAGAACAGGATGCCTGACTAGATGGGCCACTGGCCTGGTCTAACGGGCTCTTCTTATGTTCCCAAATCTACATTATGTCTAGTTGGTACTGCAGTGGACTCAGATTGACTGGGAATTAACTAGGTTCCCGGGGGGGGGGATTCTGAGGGGGAACGCGAACCGTAGGGCAGGAGAACTTTTGAACTGGCATGGCAAACTATGTGTTGGTTTTTGAATAGCTGCCGTTCTGATGCATTTAATTCACTGGGAGAACTAGCGTGCAAGACCTACGGTAGCTTAGATGCAGGCATAGAATGGCCCCCGAGAGAAAGGAAGAGGTT